GAAGGCAAGACCGCCTACATCTTTTCATTTCCCTTCTTCCCAGGTGAGCCACCCCACACCCGTCTTGTCACACAACCATCCCCATGCCCTCTCTTCCTCTCTGAGTTCCCCCAACGTTTACTCTGCATTCCAAGATGGAGATCACCTAACCTCCACTTCATGCCCTTTCCAGTTTCAGCGCTTCCTCTTTTCCCTCCAAAACCACCACCTACCATACCCCTGCCCATCAGTGTCCTTCACTCCCGTGACTTCACGAAACCCTTTTTGCCCCTTAGAATGGACACTGGCCTGGTTCCAGGTTAGTCTTTACTCACTGCTAAAAGGGAAACCCTCTTGAGTTTTTTATTCCAAAACCTCTGCCCAACCCAACTCCTTCAGCTCCATCTCTCTTTTTTTTTTTTAAACATTCTCTGATGTCTGCGTAATAAATCCTTTTTGGAGGAGAAAGAATGTCTTAGTCTGGGAAAGGAAAGAGCTGGAAGTATGGATCACAGAAGCTATACAAAAACAAAACTTGAAACCCAGGGGTAGGGGAGTGGGGGGAGTTGTATAGAGGGCCAAGGAATAAGGAGTAGAGATAAGGGGTTCAAAATGTCACCAAGAGTCACAGAAAAAGCTGACTGGAACCCCAAACTTCTTGTGCTTATTAACTTTAAGAAACCAGGGCTTTTGTTTTGTTTGAGGGGAGGGGAAGAATGAGAGAAAACCTGACTTTTTATTAAGCATCTACAATGAGCCAGGTAGTTTCAAATGTCACTTCACCAAAACCTTTCAATCCCCAAGAAGTAAGCCTTGTCTTGTTTTAGTGGTGAGAATCAGGCTAAGAGAGAAGGTATGTAATTTACCTAAGTGGTGGTATTTAAGTGGTGGTGCTAGCATTTGAAATTAGATAAAGCTGACTATGAAGCCCATGCTCTTTTCAGGATGTCCCAGAAGAGAAAAAGGGAGGCGCTCTCAGTTGGTGGGGGCCAAGACCAACAGGCTGACAAGAGAATGAACCAATATAGCACACACCATAGATCCAGATGTCTGTGGAAGAAAGGGAGGAAATCTTTAACCTGTCCCTAACCATAGGGGACACTGGAAAGAAACTGAAGAGATGCAGCCAGGTTAAGGGCCCAGGCCAGGCCAGGGCCTACATCTCTCTACTCCTTTCTCATCTGACTGCTTCCTCCTCCTAGCTCTTAAGAGTTAAAGGGTTCCATGAACTTGGGGTGAGAACATGACAGTTACAGTTAATGGAAAATTTACAGAATCATTATAAACCACCTCTAGTGATATTCTGGGAATCTTGAAGATTCTATTCTGCTAGATATTCAGTCAGCTGCTGCCTGCATTGGCTTAACAGACAGCAACACCTTGGAGCTGGAGAAAGCCCCATAGTTTTGGTGGAGTCACTGCTGATACAGCACCTACAATATTCAAAGGACCCACCATAAGTCCTAGGATCTTGAGATAAAGAAGCCCTGGCTTTTCAGACCAGAACACAGAAATTCTTGCAAAGACAGCCCACACCCCCGCACTCCAAAAAGCAAGAGGATTGCTGTAGGAAGGGCTAGGAGAGGCAGTGGTGTGTAGGTAGTGTAGGGAAGGCGTGGCATAGTACGTACAGAAAAAGACTTCTAGAGGCTTCTGGAGGCTCCCAGCGCTGTATACCGGCTAATGTTTTGCAATCTAAAGAAACCCTAATTTATCTCTGGGCAGATGAACCAGTTTAGGAGCTGAAGAGAGTAGCCTGAAACTTCAGGTCTACGAGAGGTAGGGCAGCTTCACTGAGAAAGACACAAAGATTACAGGAAAACACAATGGTCTAGGAAAGAAAGAGTACTCACCATTCTACCGTGGTGAGGGTCCTGGCTGCCTGCTTCTCTCTATAAGGAGTCAGAGGAACATAAGAGTTCAGGACACCATTAACATCACCATGAAATCAGCAAATGCTACACATCTACCCGTCAACTTCTCTACAACTCTTATTCTCCTCCCTCACAGTCTCTCCACAAGTCTTCGACAACTCACCGTGCCAGAGAGAGGCAATGGGAGCTATGTGTGGAGAAAGCAACAAGTGATCCTGCAGGGCATGAAATCAGCCACAAAGTTCTAAAGCAGAAATGAGTGTCATCTGAGCGCATTCAGCAGAACTCAAGAGTCCTGATTCCCAGACTCGGGAGTAGAACACTCCAAACCCTGTTCTTTGTGGGAAAGAACTGCCAACTCTGAAGAGACAAAGGCTGCCCAACTAGGACTCATTTTTGGCCCTGGTAAGGGCCTGAATCCACAGGAACGCTCTGCCAGTCTCTGAGTCTGGGAGTAACACCCACCTGACATGTTTACTAGGGGCAGAGTCCAGAGGACAAGAGGGAGGGGAGCACAACCTGTGATCAGAGGGCAGCAGGGCTGGACAGGTCCTGCTAAGTGTACTTGACACCAAGTGGGGCGGAGGTTATGAGGAGGAGGCCACAAAACAGGAACAGAATCAGGCCAGCCTAGGCCTTGGAGTCAGCATGTCAAATGAACCCAAGTAACGGATTTCAGGATGCAGCCTTCTAGGCCCACTTAGGGAGCCAGGCCCAGGTTTCACTCACACATTTCTTCATGCCTGCTATGCTCAGGAGCAGTGCAGAAGAGCACCGCAGGAGGCTCCATCTGTGGGCCCGCCTCCTCCCTGTTCACGGTACTTTCTTCCCCAGACCACCCTCCCTCATGGGAGAGCCCGCAATAGGCAAGCCAGAGGTGCTGCCTCACCGCCCACTGGCACGCAGCCCTAGGAAAAGGGAGGGAGGGAAGGCGGGATAAAGACCAGTCCTGGGAAGCCCAGGGTTTCCGGACCTAAGGGATCTGATCCCGGTGGGCGGGCCAGGCTGGCAGGGGAGCTCAGGTGCTCAGGTTCTAGGGGCGGGGCCTAAGGACTCGGAGGCGGAGCCCTGGATGACAGAAGGCGGGATTCAGGAAAGCCGGTGGGGGCCGGGGCGGGGACCGAGCAAAACGCAGTCGTTGAGGTTCCCAAGCTGGCAGTGCACGGGGCACGGTGACTCACCCAGGCGGCGTCCACCCGACCCTCCGAGGCCGCGCTCTCGCCACTTCCGTCTCCCGCAGCTGCTGAGGCCGCGCAGCTTCGACCCCACCACGGTGCCCTTCTCCCCAACCAATCGTATCTCTGGCCTGTGCCCGCCCTGGCCAATGGCCACACCAAGTCCCGCCCTGCCCCCACCACGCAGCCGCCGCCCTCACTCTCCACACCGTTCATTGGTCGAGTAGGGCAGACGCCCTCCCAGCCTTTAGCCTATCGGGTTCCGGAAGATGAGACTATACCTGGAGGGAGGAGGCGCGGCGCCGGAGAGGAGACGCGACCAATGGGAAATCACAGCGCGTCCTAGCGGCAGCCAATGGGAGAGCAACAAAGAGGAGGCTGCTGGCTAAGGCTGCGGGGGGCCGGAAGTGGGGGCGGCCTGTCGCCTACTGGTAGCGCAATTGGAGGCGGGGCATTGTAGGTGCACGGTCTTTACAGCTACTTCCGCTGATGACCCCGCCCTGGGGGTACCTCTCAAATAGATCCCCAGTGGCACCTCAGTTTATCCATTCACGTTCTGGTTTCGCTGCGGTCATCCGGTCCCAAAGGCACAATGGGAGAAAAACCTGCAGGCGAGGAAAGGGAAGAGAGCTGGGCCTGGAGCTCAGTCTTGGTCTTCTCCGACTGGCGGCGCGGGGACTTCCCCTTTTCTGTGTCTTCACGGGTTCCTCCGACCCTCACTTTTTTTTTTTTTCTGATAATAGCTTTTTTAAATTTATTATAAATCTTTTTTTTTAATTTCGGCATATTATGGGGGTACAGATTTTAAGGTTTCAATAAATGCCCATTTCCCCCCCTCCCCCCAAAAGTCTGAGTCTCCATCATGACCATCCCCTAGATGGTGCACATCTCACTCATTATGTATGTATATACCCGCCCCCCTCCCACCTGCCCAATACCCTACTTTTTTTTAATATATGGGCTGACGACCAGCCGTTCTTCATGACTTGCACTGTGCCGCCAGTCCTGAATAAAAATCTCTCCGAGAGATAGGAAACCTAGATCTGAGACCTACTAGCTAGCTGCGGCCTCCTGGTCTGTAAAGGGAGAGCGGAACAGGACGCTTCCAAGGATCCGGCTCTTCATCCCTCCCTTTCTCTCCCAGGGACCCAGAACAGTCAACAGGATGGAGGGTGGCCGCTGGAGGTCGCCTCGGCCCCGCGATACCACCAACCCGACAGATGGAGAATAGTTGATTCCAGTTCTCAACTGATAGCCTCAGGTCTAGCTAGAGTGGGCCTGAGCGTTTTAATACCAAGCCCTGGGACTAAAGTGCCCTCAAGAGTCTTTGTTTATAAAGTACTGGGGGCTTATACCCAGTATAACTTAATATCTGTACTAAAAGTTCCAGGAAGACAGGAACCTTGCCTGTGTTCACTACTTTAACTCCAGGGTCTGGAACGGTGTCTGCAACCTAGTAGATATTTAATAAGTATTTAAGTGAATACTGAACTCCTTCAGGACAGTGATTGTGTGTTTATTCATTTCCAGCACTTAACCGCGTTTGGTGTTTGGTGATTACAGTGGCTTCGGCATTTGTTCAGTGTTCTACCACGGGCTTCCTAGAGTGTAGAGCTTAATTCTGCCTATTCCTCTTCCCAGATCAGAGGAAATAGGAAGTCAGGAGGTTGCATGTTTTGTTTTTTCCCAAGGGCAGGTATCAGATCCAAAATTGCTATACAATTGAAGGTACTGTATGTGGGAAAGATGGAGGCCCAGATCCCAGATAATAGAGGCAGCATAGATATGGTCATTAATAATATGGAGAGTCCAGGCTGGATTCTAAACTCTGTCACGGGAGGGAAAATTTTTCCCCATTCTCCCTTCCCTACTAAAAGCCAGAAACCAACATCCTCCTCCATCAGTTTTTCAAAACTGGGTCCTAGGATCTTCATCTCCAGGAGGTGATAAAGACACAGACAGGGACAACAGAAGCCACCTATAGATTTATTAAACTTTATTTCCTCTGAGTCTCTGGGGAGTCAGCAAGGATGTAAGGCGAAGTGGCAGTAGCTGCAGGGGCCTGAGCAGAGCTGGTGCTGGGAGGGGCTGGCATGGACAGGAAGAGGAGGAGATTTAAATATCCAATGCTAAAAGCCAGTTAATGGGTCTCCTTCATCTGTCTTTGGATTTTGTGTAGCATCTCCTGCATCCGCCGCAGCTGGAATAGGCACATGCATCAAAATGGGGGCCTTTGGAGAGTCTAGTATTATATAGTATTGGGGAAAGTGCCCATGGTTCTAACCCCTTGAGCTAGGGCCTTGGAAGCCCTGAAGTGTGATGGAGAATCTGGGCAGAACTATCAATTGATAAATCCAGTACCCAGATATGCAGCCAGAGCCAGGCATCTTTCTGTTCCCAAACCAAGAGATACTAAGGTTTATGATCAAACATGGGACCTCTTAGACTGTCAACCCCTACTACCCCATACTGCTCTCACCTCTTCATCTTTCTCTCGGATAAGCTTCTCAGTTTCTGGATCTGTCCCTGGTGGGGCAGCAGGGATTGGGAAATCGGTACCACTCTCTCGAGTCAGTTTGCTGAGGGAAAGGGGAAAGGAGGATTGGTAAGGCTACTAGGACCCCAGCACCCACTTGCATCAAGCCCAGGGCCTGTAGAAGAATAAGGGAAGGGCTTGGTCTCACCCAAGACTGTGCTTGGGATGCCCCCTGCCAGCTTTGTCCTGGCTTGTGGTCATACTTGCGATTCCTTTCCTTCACCACCAGGCGAGTCATGCTCTGGATGCACTGTGCCCGGTAGTTCTCATAATGTGTCTCCCGTGTCACATCCTTCAGGTCCTGCATGTGGGTACGCACCAGCATTGTCCTCAGCTTCACAAAGTCGCAGTGCCCGGGGTTTTCCACTGCACAGCAAGGCTAGGGGTCAGCCAGAGGCATGGGTGGGGGAGAGCCACTGAGGGCAAGGAAATACCCTAGTAACAAGCTAGTGCTTTACCTTCCACAATGCCCCAGGGGTAGAGTCGACCCCGAACTCGCCGCCCTCTGGCTTCTACAACAGTGTTGCTGCCAATTACCGCAAATGGAATGCTTTCCTGGAAGAAGTTAGGGGTGCCTGTCAGCACCCCTCATTCTCACCTGTTCCTTTCTACCTATATTTTCATCTCTGCTTTATTTTAGGAATCCAGGGCCCTCTCCCACCCAAAAGCCTGCCATTGTATAGAATCCTACTCTCCTCTTCTTCCCAGAAGAAACATGATGGGAAGGGGACCCCTGGGGTGGCCCCACCTTTAGGGCTTGGTCCTGTAATTTGAAGTCCTCATCCTCATCAGAGTCACAGTCTGGGAACTGATAGATCTTGATTCCAAAGTGCTCAATCTCTTCCCGGATCTGGCAAATACATGAGGGACCCACAGTTCTGGGGACCCCATCCTTTCTAGAAGCCCACCTAATCCCCTCCCACCACCAGCTTCCCTCACTTTGCGTTTCTTGTGGTCCACTTCAAGAGGTGTTAGTGTGTCCGCCTTAGCCAGGATAGGCACGATGTTGACCCGCTGATGCAGGGCCTTCATGAATTCAACATCCAATGGCCGGAGCCTGGGGAACAGGAATCTGTGATCACCTGCTAGTGGCAGCCCTGCCCCTGGTGCTCTTGGCCTGTTCCCTTGGCAGCACCCGGTGGTGCCAGAGGCCTCAGGCTTGGACCATACCCGTGGCCGAAGGGTGAGATGAAGTACAGGCAGCAGTGCACTCTGTTGTCTTGGATGTTCTTTCGGTTCAGGCCACTCTCATCTCGGAAATACTGCTCAAACTGCTGGTCAATGTATTCTGCCACAGGCTTCCAGCTAGGGCAGGGAAAGCAGAGAAACCATGAGAGTGGGGGCTGCCTAGTGAGCTCTGGGACTGAAGAAAGTAGTCCATGCCCTGAGCAGTGTTTTCAAGGCATTGTAATTCCCTGGCTTGCTTTACTATATCTTCAGGACATACCTGGGTAGGATGGGGATATATTTCACATGTCCTCATAGAAAATTAGACTGAACATGCAGGGAGTTCAATAAATACCAGTTTGATGAAAGGGCCTAGGTGACCAAACAAAGTAATAAGAATAGCAAGGTGGCTGCAGGGGAACACCCGTTGGAAGCCAGGGAAGTCCCACGTCAGGTTCACAGTCGACCCTCAGAGACTTTGCTCATGTGGTTCCACGCTCTCCTCCACCTCTCCAAACCCAACCCATCCTTTAAGTCCCCATCCAAGAACCATCTCTTCCATGAAAGCTCCTTTGGGTATACCAACGCACACTGCTCTCTCCTCTTCACCACACAGGGAAATAAATAAATATATTTTTTCCAAGAACTTCTATTTCCAGGTCCTTTGCTCTCCTATTATCTAGTTTAATTCTCAGTGCCCTGACAGTTGGTTATTATGCATTATGTCATCATCGTTTTATTTTTTTCTGAGACAGAGTTACACTCTCACCTGGGCTAGAAAGCAGTGGCATCATCATAGCTCACTACAACCTCACACTCCTGGGCTCAAGCAATCCTCCAGCCTCAGCCTCCCAAAGTGCTAGGATTACTGTACCTGGCCATAATTTTATGTTTTGTAGAGATGGGGTCTTGCTATGTTACCCAGGCGGAATCACTCTCATTTTATTCATGAAAAAACTAAATCCAGAGCAGCTAAGAAACTTGCTCCAGATCATTTGGCTAGTAAATTCTCTACCCACCCAATTCCCTGGCTTTCTGACTCCTAGCTCAGTATTTGCCACTACACATTGCCTGACTCATTTACTAATTTGTTATCTGACTGATACACATGTTAGAGAATTGCTCCCACCTCCCTGCCACTCCCTGCTGCCACTACACTGTAAGCCTCTCAGGGAAGGGATCATTCATACTTGTTCTGCATCCTCTAAAATATCTAGCATAGTCTGGACACCTAATATGTGCTCAATAAATTCTGGCTGATTGACTAAATGAGTACATATAGAGGTGCAAAGTAAACTGTCATGTTCCAAGCAAATGAAATTATTATTGTTATGGAAAATAAAAGAAGATAAGTAAATTGACTGAAGGAGAGATTGGCACTTGCCACAGTAGGAACAGAGTACTTGTTGGAATGAGAATTTCAGAGCAAGCCCAGTTTGCTGACACATACTCTTAGAGCAGGAAAGGTAACAATGATATGGAGCCCACCCTCAATCCATCAGGAATATTGATGGAGACCATGTACTAGCATAGGACTGTGACAAAGACGTAAGAAATGACCCTCCCTTCAAGGCTTAGACAATGAAGTTGAAAATGAACGAGTTTGCTGAGCCAAAAGTCACATGTGGTCATGATAAAGCATGTGATGGGGAGTCAGGGCACAGAAAGGTCTGTGAGGTCATTACCCAGGGTCAGCTTCACGGGTGTATGACTTGTACAATCACACAGGGATCCGAGCTCAGAAGGGCTCACTCTTCATTTGATGCTCTGCTGCTGCCACCTTGAAATTCTTAATAATTTTGACCAAGGGGCCCCAAATTTTTATTTTGCACTGGGCCCCACAAATTATGTTGCTGATCTTGCAATTAGCATTGTTAAAATTCATGAGTGTAATGTAAATAGCCCATTATACTTTTCAATGCACATGCATCGTTCTGGGTGATGTTCAGATCAATTGAGTCAGGGAGAAAGGGCTGCCATTTTTCAATTAAAGAAACAGGACTGCAGTCATTTGCTCAAGATCACACAGGTACTAAATACCAATCAAGACTTGAATTCTCTAGGTCTCTTAGCACCATTCACCTAACTTCTTCATCAAAGGCACCTCCTTTTCTCCTATTTATCTCATCCATTCTCCTCCTCATCTATTTACTTAGTACTGACTTAGTACTACTTCCTGGAAAAAAAAAAAGCCAGAATGATGGGGGATGTAGCAAAGCCATCTTTTCTTTTGGCCAGTGGACTGGAGGGTACTTGGGGCTTAAACAAAGTTCCACCATTTCCCCCTCTGCCTCTTCTTTTTCACCTTCATTCCTCCCTCCACAGACCCCATTCCTTCAACAAGATTTGTTTGTGGCATCTAAAATGTTGCTGGTGAAAGGAAAGGAAAGATGGAGGGCGATTTTTATTGAGCACCTGTCAGGCCCTGTACTACATGTGTTCACATATATTTGCTTTTTTTTTTTTGAGACAGAGTCTCCCTTTGTTGCCCAGGCTAGAGTGAGTGCCGTGGCGTCAGCCTAGCTCACAGCAACCTCAAACTTCTGGGCTCAGGCAATCCTCCTGCCTCAGCCTCCCGAGTAGCTGGGACTACAGGTATGTGCCACCATGCCCAGCTAATTTTTTCTATATATATTAGTTGGCCAATTAATTTCTTTCTATTTATAGTAGAGACAGGGTCTTGCTCTTGCTCAGGCTGGTTTCGAACTCCTGACCTTGAGCAATCTGCCCGCCTCGGCCTCCCAGAGTGCTAGGATTACATGCGTGAGCCACGCGCCCAGCCTATATTTGCTTTTTTGAAGTCCTCCCTCCCTCCCTTCCTTCCTTCCTTCCTTCTCTCTCTGTCTCTTTCTTTTTTGTTTTGGTTTGGTTTGGTTTGGTTTTTGAGGAAGAGTCTCACTCTGTTGCCCCAGCTAGAGTGTAGTGGTATCTTCATAGCTCACTGCAACCTCACACTCCTGGGCTCAAGTGATCCTCCTGCCTCAGCCTCCCGAGTAGCTGGGACTACAGGCAGGCACCACCATGCCCGGCTAATTTTTTCTGCTTTTGAATAGAGATGGGGTCTCACTCTTGTTCAGCTTGAACTCCTGAGCTCAAGTGATCCTCCTGCCTCCCAGAGTGCTAGGATTTGGAGTGAGCTACCATGCCTGGCCTTTTTTCTTATCTTATGTCCCCCATTAAAGAATTATGGGTCAGAATCGGAAGGAATGTTAGAAATCATCTATCCTAATCCTTTCCCTCTCACTTTGCAGAGGAGAAGATGGCTGTCCAGTAAGGGGCGTAGCATGCTCAAGATCACAAACCTCTCGTCCTGACAAGTTTGTGTGTGTCTGCCTATGCGTGCACCTGTGTGTGGGTATGGAGCAGGTGTGTGGGTTGAGGCAGCTGGGGTCGTGCTTGGTCAGACATACCAGTCTGTGTTGTTGACTGCATCCCCAAAACCTGGTGTATCCACAATGGTGAGCCGCAGCCTCACACCCTTCTCTTCTATGTCCACTGCATGCTTAGTGATCTCCACGGTCTGCATGATCCGCTCTGGAGAAGAGGGAAACTGAGGCCAGGGCAAGGGCAGGGACCTGCCCAGTCAGGACAAACCACCAACCCCAACCAGCTTTGCTGCCCAGACTGCCTCATCCACACTGCCCCCCTCTCCACTCCCAGGCTGCCTGGGGGCCTGTTCTCTGGGAACCAGCAAGGAGCACATTTCCCAACACAGGAAATGCCGGTGGCTGTTGGCTCTGGCCCCAGCCTCTTTTCTGCTCTTGGCTTTTTTCTTGGATTCCTGGAATCCTTGGGGGTCAGAAACTCATTCAGAGAGCAAGATTCTGGTCCCTGCCTTGCTTCAGCACCCAAATCTTTAGGGAGCTGTCTGGTAGACTGCCAGACCAGATAGGCCTATGGAGAGATGCTGTCAGTTTCTCTAGGAAGCCATGGTTTGCTACACGCTAAGGGGGATCCTCCAGACTCCGGAGTAAGTTTAATTTCCCAAGACAGGTCTGCTTGCCTGTCTTCATGCTCCTCTCCTTTGCTTACCTTCAGCACTCAGGAGTTTCCGGTCCCGGTACAGGTCGGTGAGGAAGAGGCTATTGACAAGAGTGGATTTGCCCAGGCCAGACTCTCCTGGCAGAGAGAAGACAGAGGCAGCAGATCAGAAGGTAAGATGTAGGTAAGAGGCAACTCTACTGATGAAGGTACGGGGGAACTGCTTTCTTATCTAACTGGGACTAGACTAACCAAACCATGCATTTTATTTTATTTTATTTTATTTATTTTGAGACAGAGTCTCACTCTGTTGCCCAGGCTAGAGTGCCATGGCATCAGCCTAGCCCAGAGCAACCTCAAACTCCTGGGCTCAGCCACCCAAGTACCTGGGACGACAGGCATGCGCTACCATGCCTGGCTAATTTTTTTCTATATATTTTTAGTTGGGCAATTAATTTCTTTTTTGTTTTTTTTGGTTTTTTTTGAGACAGAGTCTCACTTGTTGTCCAGGCTAGAGTGAGTGCCATGGCGTCAGCCTAGCTCACAGCAACCTCAAACTCCTGGGCTCAAGCGATCCTCCTGCCTCAGCCTCCCGAGTAGCTGGGACTACAGGCATGCGCCACCATGCCCAGCTAATTTTTTTCTATATATATTAGTTGGCCAATTAATTTCTTTCTATTTATAGTAGAGACGAGGTCTCGCTCTTGCTCAGGCTGGTTTCGAACTCCTGACCTTGAGCAATCCGCCCGTCTCGGCCTCCCAGAGAGCTAGGATTACAGGCGTGAGCCACCACGCCCGGCCTGGGCAATTAATTTCTTTGTATTTTTAGTAGAGACGGGGTCTCACTCTTGCTCAGGCTGGTTTTGAACACCTGAGCTTGAGCCATCTGCCTGCCCTGACCTCCCAGAATGCTAAGATTACAGGCGTGAGCCACCACGCCCAGCCCAAACCATGCATTTTAGAGCTGAAAGGAAACAGAGAGATCAGCTTGTCTAGCCTTCTCATTTGAATGAGGCCAAGAGAGAGCAAGGGATTGCCCAAGGTCTCACAGAAAGAGGCAAATCCTAGAAAATTGTTGGTCAAGTGTTCTTTGCACCACTTCACACCCCCCCACACACACATTTGGCCACCAACAGCTCCTAGCTATTTTGCAAAAAGGCACAGCCACTTGCTGCTTGCTCCTTTCCTACACACACCATCCCCACCTGAAACACGCCCTGCCCTGCCCTGCCCTGCCCAGCCCTGCCCCTTTTCTACCTGCCACCATGAGGGTAAAGTCAAAGCCTTTCTTCACCGACTTTCGGTGGACTTGGTTGGGTAGGGTCGCAAAGCCCACATACTCCTTGTCATCCTAGTGAAAAGGAAGGCAAAATGCATCAGAGTGAGAGGCAGGAAGGGCCCTGGCACCTAGTACAAGTCTTCTCTCTCTCTTTCTCTCTGCCTTGTAGGTTTTTGCCTCAGCCTTAAAAGAGCTGTGCCAGACTCCACTGGGTTCCCACCTGAGGCCGCCCTCTGTACCTCCTTGCCCCTGATGGAACTGTCAGTTTCCAGTGCTTTAGGGGCAGACATCACAAAGCTGGGGCTGGCAGACATCACAAAGCTGTGTCTCTCTCAAGACAGAGAGAAGCCCCAGATACACACACACACACACACACACACACACACACACACACACACACACAGAGGCTCTCTGCTCCCTCCCTGGGTCTTCCTCACCAGCCCACTAAAAGGCAAAGGCAGGGCTGGAGGCTCTACCTCAGAGGAATCATAGGGATCGAGCTTGCCCCATGGGCTGCGGGGCCGAGCCGAGGGGCTGAGAGGGGCTGGGGCACAGAAGTACTGCTGGCTGTCAGAGGACGGGGGCCACGAGGGGGGTCTGAACTCCAGTTCATCATCACAGAGGTCCGGGGTCTGGGGCCTTGGCGCCGGGATTTGGGGCTTGGACACCCAGGGCTTAGCCTCCCGTGTGTGGCAGCTCTCGCTTCCTGGGAAATCCTTCACGAACTTGCTCAGTTCTCCATCATCCGTGGTGTCCTCCAGGAAATGCTTGATCTGGAGGATTGGGGGGGGTGGAGTAGGTGGCAGGTGGCAGAAAGGGAAGAATGAGGAAGAAGGTGGAAGACAGGAGAAGGCAAGAGGGAAAGGAGGAAAGCACTTGTGGTTAGAAGAGAAAGAAACTGCAGCCAAGCCAGAGGAAGTACTCACCATCCCTCCCTCACCTGCTCACAAGCAGGCCTCGAGCCAAGATGCCAGGAAGGGTCCCAGGGTCTAGGAGGAGCCCTGGGCAGTCTCCTAAGTGCTGGCGACTGCTCTTGGGAACTGAGGAGCAACAGTTCTGGTGCTCCCTATCAGCAGGGTGTTAGTGAGGCTGCCCCTCCCGAGGTCTGGCCAAGCCAAGGGACAGGGACTGCCCCAAAGGCCAGGAAGTCAGACTGACTAAGAAGCAGAGGCTTTAGACCAGAGAGGAGAGTGTGGCTCAGGACTCAAGGGAGAGTGCAGGGAGTCAGGATGGGGCAGGGGCATGAGGGAAGTAGGTAGGGTAGAAGGCAGCTGCTGGCCCCAGGTGAGTCAGGAGCTGGCAGTGGGTTCTGTGCTTCCTATCACTGCTGGCCAATGCACTTTGGGATTGAGGTGCAGCTCCTACTGTGCGTGCTCCCTCCCCAGGGTTCACGGCCCAGAGTTGAGTATAGCTAACCCTACACCTTACACCAGACCTTGAGCCCCAAGAGAGAAGAGTAAACCTGCCAGTGGATGCTGAGTGTGGGACCTTGGAGGGACCAGGTAAGGGAGGGTGGACACTGGCTATGGAAGAGCTGGGGGGTGGCTGGCTGGGGGATGGCTGGGCCTCCAGAGCTGCTGACAGCCCCAACTATGAGGGACATGTAAGGGGAAGTACCCTTTTATTGCCCTCTCACCCACTCTGCCTAGAGCCAGCAGTGCAGGAGAGGGCCTGCCCCAAAATGTGAACCACAGCTTTTGCAGAAGCCTGTTCCACCTTATCCCCAGCTTGGAAGAGGAGCTGTTCTCCCCTATTCTCACCCTCAGATCTAGACCCTAAAATTTCCCCTCTCCTTTGGGGGTCAGCCTCCTTTGTGGGGTGCCTGGCAGTGCTGGGCTCAGCCCTGCCTCACAGTACCCACATGCCACCCCCAGACAATGGACAAGGGCTGGCTGCGGAGGCTGACTCACCCTCTGGGGGTTGGCCAAGCCGGCAGGGGCTACCCTGGACCACTGCGGAGTCCCAGCCAGGGTGAGGGAGATAAGATAGCCACAGTCTTCCTGCATATCTTCATCTTACAAAGGGAAGAATTGAGGGAGATGGATATGCACACTGCCGGGTTTATGCCAGAGGGAAGGGATTGAGATAGGGAGGCTAGATGGAAAAGTCCCCTAGGGGCTGCTTCAGGCTGTCACCCCTCAAGTCTTCACACTTGCTTATAGCCATAGTCTCCAGGGTTCACCTGGACAGAGGTGAGGAAAAAAGGCCCTTTAGCCTGAAACTGGAACTAGCCTGTGGGGGCTTAGTGACCGGAAGAAGCTGCCCTGAGGCAAGCCTGACCTAACAGGCTTTCTCACCCACATTTGTAAGGTCCTTGGGGTGACTATACATCACAGTTTATGCTTGTTGTCCTAGCATAATGATGAATTGTGTCCCCTTTCACTCTCAAAAGTGTCCCAGTTTGGACAATTAATTGTATGGCAACAGAGAAGGGATGGGGCTAGGGGGCTGCGGGTCTTGTCTGGCAGCTAATGAGGCTGGGGAACGCCAGGAAATCCTGCCTCTCTGCACAACCTCCCAGTGACCCAGCAGTTGGTCTGGGGTTTGGGCCAAGAGTGGGAGAGGACCCTCCACCGGGATCCCCAGGGGCACTGAGTGGAGGGGCAGCAGGGAATGGAGGGGGGAAGGCACTGGTGCCATCCCTAGGCCCATAATCTTCCAGCAGAGCTGCCAGGAACCCAGCACCTTCCTCTCTTCTGCCAGCCCTGACTGCTCCTCAGCATGAAGGGGTGTCAGGGGGTTTAGATAAGCAGTCAGGATTCCAGGGTCCTCGCCTCCTGTCTGTCCATCCCACACCGCCAGCTCTGCCAGTGACCAAATCATTTTTCTGACTTTGAGCACCAATCTCAGCCAAGGCAGGGGGAAGACAGGTCGGGTCCACCCATCTCCCAGAGCAGCACCTTACCCCAGCTTCAGCCCTGTCCTCAGGCACAGAATTCTCTTGCCATTCCAGTGAACGGTCCATGCCCCACACTTCAGACTCCCTGTCGGCAAGCTCTAGGTCTAATTTTATCTTCCAGGCAAAGTTCCTCACACACAGAAACAGCCTTGTCCCGATGCTCCTGTAGTCTATCAGGCTTCCTGGCTTGTTCCTTTCCTTTTCTATTTGACCCCCCTCTGTCTCTGGCAGGGGCCAAAAAAGCCTGTGGAATGTCCTTCCCCACCCCTCCTCCTCCCCATCCCTTGGCTCCCACCCTCCAAGGACAGCTCAGCTGCAGCAGGATCACTCTGGTTCCTCTGCAGCCCCCTCCTTCTCTGATTGGCTGTCCCATTACGCCTGCAGCCTACCCTGGTGGGCACAGCACCAACTTCCCACGTCTGTCTGCAGCACAGGTTCTCGATCCACTTGACCTCTTCTGTTAACCCCCAAGGACACTGTGGCCTGCTTGAGGACTATCAGCTGTTCTGAAGGTGACCTGGCCCATCAGTACATGGGGGCAGCCACCCAGGAGACCCATTCCCAAAGGATTCCAATCCCCCAATCTCTCTCTTTCACCTTAACTTTAAGCAGTGCTGAATGAAGTAGGATGAGATGTCCTATAATCCTCTGGGTACAGGTTCTCATGGGAATGGTCCCACCTTTCTTCCCCAGTGTCCCTTTGTCTTCTCCCAGCAGGAAGCCCATAGGTCTTCAGAAATCTGCTCCTAGATTTCCCTGCAGGGAACCCGGCCAACCAGGGGGCTTTGCTCCAGGGCCTCCTCCTACCCTAGGATACCTGACCTCTGCTCAGGGGGACCTGTATCAATTCTGTCACCCCATGGCTTCCATAGAGTCAAGGAGGAGCTGCTAACACTTGGTGTCTGAGGGCGATGGGTTCAAGCCAATGGAAGGCTGGCATCCCAGAAGCTTCATTTAGGTGGGAAACAAATTAAGGGGCCTGGCTGGGAGTGCTCAGATGGAGCACTTGACTAGGAGTCAGAGGCCAATGTTTCTGATTGGGCCAGAAACACCTTTGTGAGTCTGGGTAGTGTCTAATTTCAGGGCCTTAGTGCCAATTGTGAATGGCCCTTCCTTGCTTCCCAGGGAGGCCAGGGAGAGAAAGCACTCCCCAATGTCAGATACCTTAAGCTGCTTTGAACCTGAGGAGAAAAGGCAAGTCATAGGATGGTCATTAGTGTTGGCCTGTCATTCTTTTCACATGCAAATTTAACTCCCAGGGGCTCCTGCATTGGGGAAGCCTCCCCACTGCTTCCCAAAGCAGCTGGGACACTGACATCCTTTGACAAGGAGACCTGCACAGAGAAGTCTGGCCTGACATGAACCAGTCAGCCTAAGGACTTGGCTGGCTTGAGGGCAGGGGCCCTTGGTGGTGGTGGGGTGTCTTTTATTAGAGAAGAACAGGGTGGCCTCAGCTAAGCTGAAAGCACCAAGACCTCAGCTGAACTGAACTGAGTGTGTGGCAGAAAAAGCCCCTCTGGCCCCTGCTGGACTTGGCACTGGGGACAATCAGAGCTTCCCCAAGCTTCCATCCCTAGAACAATCAGTCTCTCCATCCCCCATGTGGGGAGAAGGAAGGGGGCAGGGAAAAGGACAGGCACCACTTGGCCTCTCCCAAGAACCCCCCTTTGGGGAAAGTCACAGGGTCACCCGGACTTCCTGGCCAAGACTTGGGCCTCCGCCTGGACACAGCTTGAGAGACAAGAGCCCGAAAGGTTGGCTTTTCCAGACCTGAAAGCTTCTGATTCCACGGGGCCCAGGGAGTTCCCTTCTGGAGGCTGCCCACAGCCAACATCCTGCCCCACAGGCTGGTCACGGATCGCCTCCTGCTGTAAACAGCCTGTGCCTCCCCATGCAGAGGGCAAAGGCTGTGAGGCTTCCAGACTGAGAGGAGAGGATGGTGTGTGGCCTGGAGGTCCTGACACCCACACACTGTGTTTGTGGCAGGCTCTGACAACAATGGCAGAAGAGCTGGCATCCTCACAGCCAAGCATCAAAACTTCCTACCTGAGGGGGGAGACTGGGGTTACTCTTTTTGCTACAGGCAGGTGGAAGTGATGGGCCTCCCTACCCCCACGCACTGCAGAGCACCTGGTTTGGGGGAGGGGAAGGGAGTAGAGGCAGCAGGAGGGAGCTTCCCCATGGTTCCTGTCCCAGAGGCAGAGGGATATAACTGATCCCACAGGGGATCCCATACCACGGGGCAGGATGATGACTGGGCTTCCCTCTCTCAGGGGTCCCTTTGGAAAAGGCCCAGGGACTGCCCCTTGCCAGGCTGTGGAAAGGAGGGACTGAGCATCTCACCAGCCCTCTTGGGGAAGCAGGCAGTGCTTGTGGGTCTCCTCTGTTTTCCAAAAGAAGTTGGTACTGACCCCTGCGCCCAGGGTAGGTGGGTTAGGAGGGGTTACCCAGGTAACAGCTGACCCAGGCAAGGACAGGGTCCCTGCTCAGCTCATCGCTGACGCGCCCTCCCCAGCCAATATGCGCATCTCAGCCGGCGGGCACCTCCCTCATCACGGACCCACCCCTTCGTCCAAGACCGCGGGGCAGCACCCTAGGGGTCGGGGATCACTCTGTCGCTGCTCCGAGGGAAAAACTTGGGAGCGGCGACGCAGCGCCACCCGGCAGCAGCGCCTGCCTGTGCCAAGGGCCGGCGACAGCGCCTCCCGCCCCGCACAGCCAGGGCTGCGGAGCCGCGGGTCCCCGTTGCGCCGCCCGGGAGCGGCGGGCCCTGCGCGCCCCGGCCCTGGCCCGCGCCCGCCCGCCTTACCATGGCTGCAGCCCGAGCCGGGCCGGCTCCGCCTGGACAGCGCCCGAGCGACCCGCGGCCAGAGCTGCGCGGCGACCTCACAGCACCGCTGGCCCCCGCCCGCCTCCCTGAGTGCGGACCGCTGGGGGCGGGGCCCGGCGGCGGGGGCGGAGCGAGGCGGCCCCGGGGCGGGGCTGCACCTCCGCTGCGCGGGTGCAGGCACGAGCTGGGCCCGGGGCCCTCCTGGGGGCCGGCCTTGCAGCTCAGGACCTCCAGAGGCGCAGCGTACCTGGCGAGAGTCGCTCAGGACAGGGTGAGGGTCTCGGCTCCTCGTCCCTGGGCACCTGGCTCTTCCTTACTCAGCTTCAGGAGCACCGCGGGGGCTTGAGCCAGTCCCCAAAGGAAAAGGGACAGCCCACCTGCCATCCCCAGAAGGAGATACCTTTAGAAGGGAAGGGGAGTTGCTTCACAAGTTGAAGAGAAACCGTTAGTTACTCTAGAGATTCAGCAAGGTTTTCAGAAAGTGAAGTCACTGATGTCCAAGTTACTGCCCATACCCTCCACACCTCCTAAAGGGAAATGTCATACATTCTTCACCTCCACTCAAGCTGAAAAGACAGGTTAGCCACAAGTTCCCTTCGTGCAGGACCCCAGATTAAAGATTAAAGAGGATTTGCTGCATAAATTATCCAGGGATCATCTGGTGGAAGGGTGGAAGGGAGAGGCTGAGTGGTTTTAATAGGTTGGTGGAGACTTGACTGGGGCTGAGGAAAGTGGGGAGGGCCTTGGGAGAGGCCAGCTCAGGCATGACCCAGACCCACTCTTCCCCCAAGCAGGTGGGTGCTATGGGGACAGATGCTCCCAGCAGCTTTTAGAGGCATTAGAGGCTCAGAAGGGTCAGAGCAGCAGCTAGGGGAAGGCAGATGCTTGGTAGGTGGGGAGTTTAGATGCTTGGGGAGTGAGAAGCTGGTGGGGGATTTCCTGAGCTAAGCAGTCTGAGCTGATCAGGCTCCTGTGGAAGTTTCCAGAAACATGCCCCTACCCGACCCCAAGACCCCTCCCCCAAGGGCAGGCTGACTGGCCTCTGCCTGAATACACTCTGGACAAAATGAGACCCACAGTCACGGCCCTCTCTATGGGTAGAAGCACTTGCCCTATTTCAGTCTGATCTGTGAACCAGTGGTCATGGTTGAGACAAGGCAGAACTCAGCCAAGGGAGGAGAGAGGGCCTGGCACAGCAGGGGAAATCAGATTCAGAAAAAAACAGGGCTGCCATTGGAGATGTTATTGGCTATTTGGCACTGGTGGACTGGAGGACAGAGGAGTGTTGTTGCTTCAAGACATCAGGAGCATTCGTGAGCCAGCACATTGAGGAGAAACCTTCCTAGCTGGGTGACCTTAGGCAATTCACTCCACCTCTCAGCGCCTCAGTTTCCACACCTGAAAATGAGGGAATTAAACTAGATTTTTAAAAAAAATTTTTAGAGACAGGGTCTCGCTCTGTCACTCAGGCTGGAGTACAGTGGTGCAATCATAGCTCACTGCAGCCTCGAACTCCTGGGCTCAAGTGATCCCCCTGCCTCAGACTCCCTAGTAGCTGGGACTAGAGGTGCATGCCACCACACGCTGCTATTTTTTTTTTTTTCTTTTAGAGACAGGGTCTCACTATGTTGGTCAGGCTGGTCTCAAACTCCTGGCCTCAAGTGATCCTCCCGCCTTAGCCTCCCAAAGTACTGGGATTACAGGCATAAGCCACCTCACCTGCCATAAACTAGATTGTTTCTAAGCTTACTTGCAGCTCTGGCATTCTAAAAGTAGATGAAGTGGGGGAGGGAGGGTATACTGTATGCTGATGTAGGCCTTGGATGAAGATAAGAGAGCAAGGCAACAGCAGGAGATGCTAAAGAAAAGTTGGCCATGCAGAGATTCGGGAGAAGGCCCAGGATCTGAGAGAAGAGGAAGCAGTATAGGATGGGGACAGCAGCTTGCCTCTGCTAAGAGACCTCTAAAGGTATAGAGAGGCCCATGGAAAAGGCCTGGGGCAGATCAGAAGAGCTAAAGCTGTACTCAGGAAAACAAAGACATAAAGAGAGAAACCAATGACTGTTGGAAGCCTGCAGAAGCAACAGCTGCTGCTGCCATCAGGCCCAAATGTCAAGCTTGGGATACACAAAGCCCCACTGTTCAAAGCCCCAGGCCACTAGTACTCATGCATGCACTCATAAGAACACCCCTTGGGCACTTCCAGTCGGCAGGCAGTGTGGCCTGGGGCGGGAGAAAGCCTACTTCAAGGAAGACAGGCCCTGTCACAAAGCCTTGTTTTCCTCTATCATAACATCCCTCCTCCCCCCAGCCTCAGCTGTGTTCCAAGTGTGGACACAGACACAGCTCAAAGGGCAGTTCAGCTAGCTCATCCTCAGCTGTGGCTGGAATCCCAGCTCTTCTCTGGCACCTGCTGCCCGGACTCCAGAGAGGCATGTTGATGCCAGCTCGCCTTGAGGGAAGTGAGGCCCCAAGGGAGGCCTGGGACCATGGAACTCAACTCCAAATCAAGAATCTTGGATTCTTGATGGCCACAGCCACTTTCTCATCACTGTACCACAGGCCCAACATGAGGCATGCTGGGTGAAATCAAAGCTGAAGGCAGACTTTGAGCCATGCTACCTGCACAAGCCCTGCATGCGAACCCTGTAACGTTCAGAGGCTCTGAGAGAACTTGACCTGGGCTTAAGTCCCACGCCAACTTTGGTGATTATCTCACTGCCCAAAAGTCCCTTGCCCTTCTTGGGCCTCAGTTTCCCCCACTGAAAGAGAAGCCTGGATGCCCCAACTCCAGCTCTCACATTCTGTGTTGATGGCAGTAGGGTCTGACACCTGGTCAGAAGCAGGGCCAAGATACAGCAGCCCTTGCATGAATCCCTGACTTCTGAGTGCTCTTCCCCATCTCCAGGCAGCAGGTGACCTGGCCAACTCTGCCTCAGCACTACTCAGCTCTTGGAGCTATAGCTCTCCCTTGAAATTCAACATCCCACCAGGCATTGATGTCCTCGACCAGAGTACAATTCCCCAGGCACTGCTAGCATGGGGTATCCGAGGCCCGTGTCTATGGAGTGGACACTTGGCTGGGAAACTCAGCAGCAACCACAGCTCCAGCCTGCTGGCCCAGGATCCTTTGCTTAAGACAGGCCAGCATGGTCTATCTTGGCTCCATGTCTTTCCTGCCTACCCATGGGTGAAGGTTGTGCAGCACAGGAGCTAAGCAAGGAGGCTGTGCTTGGGCCAAACCAGGGCCCAGGTTCAAAGCCAAGAATAAGGAGTGATTACCACAGGAAATCATGATTTCAGATCTACATGACTAGCAAAGGTCATTTTTGCCTCTCAGTAGCTAAGTTTCCCTAAGAAGTACAAGAACAAACTGTACCTCCCTTCCCCAGAGGTAGTCACTAATGATACAGTCAGAGAGCCCTGGTGAGGCCAAAGGGCTACCACTGGATCGCGTCTTTCAAGGAAACCTCAGCCAGCAAAGTCTGTGCTAGACAAAGGCAAGAAACCAAAATACTTAAGCCCCACTTCTCCCCCAACTGCTGCCACATGTCCCACGATCCTGGGGCAGGCATGAGATGTGGGTGGCAAGGCTGGGGAACTCTGTGTTTCCTGGCACCTGCTGAGTGGCTACAGAGAGCGGCAATTCCGGAGCTGGCAGAGTGCTAGAGGCCAGCCACTCTGATAGGGCAGACAGTCCTCCCAATGCCCATCCTGAACAGGCAGGACCACAGGAGCTCAGAGTTGGAAGGAACTTACATACCTCCCCCTAATGTGACTAACCCCCGGATGTCTGACTCCCGTTAAGACACCCCTCCCACTGCCTCCCCAGCTTCTGCTTTGCTGACTCATTTTATTGGACTTTGGTTTATCCTTTGAATGTCCACACCCTTTCAAGTGACCCATCTATATACTTTTCTCTACCAAATTAACCACAAGCCCCTCAAGAGCAGGGAGTATGTCTTCTCTTTTAACCTCTGGTCATTTCAGTTCAGCAAACATGTGATGTCTGCCTGGGTGTCCAGGCCTCTGCCCCCAGGAGATGGCTGATCAATATGGATTGACTAAAAGGATTCATTGATTAGTTTTCCACTCTGATTTTAGAGCACAGACAAGCCTTGAGGCCCTGGGTTTCACTGACCCATCACTTGCCCTTCATTCTGCTGCTAACGAGCTCACACCTACCTCCCAGCCTCATGTTCACATGCAAAAACATAGATGTTACTCCCACCAAAACCTTTCCCATCACAATTCTTGATATCTGAAGGCGCTACTGAAATATAAAGAAGTTATTTTCCAGGAAGATGTGACTACAGAAGGAGGATTTCTATACCACATAGTTGAATCCCTAGGGCAGGATCCTCCTTAAAGTGCTCCCAGCTTTGATGAGCAAGCTCTGAGCCTCAGTTTCTTCATCTGTGAAATAGGGAGAAAAAGTCCACCTCCTAGGTTGCTGTGAAGCTTCACCAGCACACTTAACACGATCACTAAATGAATGATAGCCATTATCTCTGCTAATGGGAAAATTACCAACATCAAACCAGCAACTGTCAACTGTGACTATGTCACATGCCTTTCCTCCAAAGGATTATGAGTGTGCATGTGTAATGGGTGTAGATGGATGGGAGGAGAAAGAATACCAGAGTAATGCCTGAGACTAAAGTGACATTGGAATGACCATGCTGCCACCACCTGCTAGATACCACACCATCTCTAGAAAGCAGGTCTTGGCCTCAGACCTACTGATCCAATTCCCAGAAACAGACACTGTGGAGACCCCTGGAGCTAGATGACTTTGCCTG